CAAATAATAGGATTAAATGTAAAAAAGCAGAGGAATCTCGCAAAAATATTGGACTTTGAAGAAAATTAAGAGATGGATCTTCAAAAGAAGAGAGAAAATATGAAATTGGTGAAATACCCATGTTCAATTCAATGGTTAATTCTTCTTCAATGAATAAATTAGAGAAATAGAGAGGTTGAATAAATGGGGTTTTCTAAGTTTGTTACAGAGAGTGGAGGAGAGAGAGCTTGAAAGATGGAATTTATAGTGTTTTGGAAAGAGGAGGAAGAGCGGGCTATGGGAAAAACAGTCAAAGAGAAAACGGGTCACACTGTCGCAGAGTACTCTTTAATGTTAACTAGTTTTTGGATCCGTTGCACGAGTTGTGTATAAGTTACTCCGTATTATTTGTGCTACAAAAATCATTTATGAAAATAACTTGTAAATCTAATAACATTTAGCATGCATAGTAGTTATACAAAATTAAATAATTGAAGAACAAATGCTGGTTATAAATTTATATTTTACCTCAAATATAAAGTTAATATCTATTTCTAAAATAGAATATTTAATATCTTGAAAGTATGCATGGTCTCATCATGACTGCAAGCAATGTCATATAATATGTTTTTTTTTTTAATATTCTTATACACTTTCCTTTTCTTGCCATTCAACTTTTCCTTATTTGAGATTTAATTTATCTCCTTTCAATCACCATCTTCATCGTAACACATATTTTGCACAATATTTTAGTATTTTTTATGTCAGTTTTATTAGGGGAATTTAGATGATATAAAAAATGTTTAACTAGAAATTAATATTAGGAGAGGAAATAGATAAAGGGTCAATGAATTATATAACACATTCAATATAATTGAACTTGAAAGATTAAGAGAGAAAAGGAAAAGATTAAGAAATTCAACATGTTGAATTAAAGAGGAGGTTACAAAATTATTAGAACTATTGATACATAAACGGGGAAGGTGAAAAAGTTTTACAATAACTAATGACATATAAAGATGGCCAATAAAAGAAAGGGATTATAAAGAAATGTAAAAGAAAAGGACACGTGGCAAAATATTATAATGAAACGTAGAAAGAATAAAAGACATGTAGCAAATGGAGTTTGTGTTTTTAAATACTACGTATAGATTATTGTTAAGGTACTATAAAATATGGACACCTAAACAAATTTGAAGAAAAAAAATTACAGAAATAACTTCTACTACGAGTATAAAAAATTAATCTATTTGTCGAGAGAGGTTAAATTCGATGAGACATTTGTGTTTGGTATATGAGAAAAAAAATTAAGACGCTTTAAAGCTGGAACATATATACTTACTATTTAAAAACTCAAACCAAAATAGACACATATACCCATCCTATTACACCTTTCTATCTTCTTTTCCAACTCAATATGCTACCTGTCGTTTTACCTTTTCTATTGTTTTATTACAGTATCTTTCTTAACTCTTTCATTAAAGAAGACTTCATCTTTCTCATCCAATTCAACCTTTTCCTTTTCTGTCTTTAACTTTAGCCCCTCTGCCTTCTTTTAATTTTCATGGCTCATTTTGAATTAAAGTCCCAAAAAATTTATTTCTTTGATCATGTTTTCTGTTATTTTAAAATTAAAATTGTTAAATAGCTATCTCAACTTCTTGAATTCTTATACGGAGTGTTATTAAGTATTAACACAATGATCTGTTATATTGCGTTATTTCTATGTATGAATTTATTTATGGATGAATGCGGAAAATTGGGTATACTACTCGTCTATTTTAGTTTATTAAAGAAAGTAAAAAAAATCTTTTTATATATGACCTTTATTTCTAAATGGATGTTCTTATTAACACTTTTCATTTTTGTTTGTTATTAAAAGTTTTTATATAAAAACTTTTCATGTATGACAAACCCTTTTTACCCCCATAATATTTTCACATATCTACTCAATATATCTTTATCTAGATTTTTTCGCTCGTATAAACAAAGTCATTGTTTATTTTCACATTTCTACTCAATTTGTTTATATTGTCTCTTTTGATTTAACCATATTTTCGATTTTACTTTCACTTATTTTAAATATTAACTAGTGAGTAGTCCGTGCGTTGTCTCAAATTATTCATTTTATAGTTGTGCAACTACTAATTTTTAAGAGCATCTAATAGTTTGTATATAGTATGTGTTTTCAATACTTTGTAGTATAACATTATTTATTGTGCAAGATTAAAGCATAATTGACAATTAGCTTAAATGTTTAAACAATAAGTTTTCTTCTAAGAGTTCAAGTGTTTGAACCTTCTCATCCATATATTTTTTCTAATGTAGTTGAGACAACATGGAATATTGTTGGTTGTGATGTGGCAAAATGAGGGGGTCTACATGACGGTATAGACATTTTTAGAAACGTCTTTTAATATATTAGTATAGATATTAAATAAAAACGGAGATAGGAGTTAATACTACTAACACAGGTTAAGGTTGGCTAGCTAGTCACAATCATATGGCACATAAAGTCATTGTTTATTGATTTACACTACCACTTAATTAAGAAGTCATTTATAGAAAAGTATTTGCCTCAAATGAGTCCAACTTTCCTCGTTCACAAATTCAAAAAAACCTTAGAACCCTTTAACTTTACTTGGGGATCAAGGATATTGTAGCAAAGTCATGAATGAAGTTGGACTATTCAAAAAGATATCTTTATTTATGGAATCTGCCAAGATACAGCGGCCTAGTAAAGCACAATTGGACGAAAATTCATACTTTCACGAGATTTAAAATAAACAAATTTCAAAGTATTCATCAATTTAATTACAGCTTTAAGTAGTGACAAAAAAATAAAGTGAAAAAAAAATGATGATGACCCCCCCACTTTAGTATTTTTCGTGACAAGATAAAAATAAAAAAGTATATATGTAATTTATCAAGATCAGATAAAAATAAGAGTTATTATGATATTTGTGGAGTATATATTTGATATGGAGGTGTAAAGAGTAGTTTGGTCTTTTAAAATATTTAACAAAAGTTAAATATATTTTGTGTTAGAGATTTTAATTTGTATATAACACCTTTTTTTTTTTTTTTTTTCTTCATATTAATTCCTTTCAATTTTGGAATAATTTTTTTAAAATAATCATCACCAAAAACACGAAGCCACAAAAAGCGATTTCCACTGTTGTAAGTTTTCACAAAAATTATGATTTTAATATATTTGACTAATTTTTTTTTTATTTATATCATATGACTTTAAAAATAAAAAATAAAAATAAAAAACAAAAAACTACCGTGATACCGAACAAGTGCTAAAAAGTAGATTTTCACAAATAAAAAAGGCTGCAATTACATAGATTTCAAATGCACTAACTATTCACACTATTTGGCAAATGATGACCTACGAGCTATGACTATAGGTCTACCCTTTCTTGAATCTATTCAATTTTTGATACAAAATATTTTCATTAAGACAACAATATTAAATGAACTGATCATTCACACCATCTAATGCAAATGAGGATAAACTTGTATTTTTTACTCTTATTTAATATCAGGGTAAAATATTTTGTATCAAAAATTGAATAGATTAGGGGAAGGCAGACTTATAGCTATATCCCCTAGGTCATCATTTGTACCAAATTGTGAGAACAGTTAGTGCATTTGCTGTTGTTATCTCAATGAAAATATTTTGTATCAAAAAATGAATAGATTCGAGAAAGGGCAAACCTATATTCATAGCCCTCGATCATCATTTATTATATTTTCATTGAGACAACAACATTAATGCATTGAGTGTTCACACCATTTGATTTAAATGATGGCCTAGGGGCTATGACTACAGTCTGCCTTTCCCGAATCTATTTTCAATTTTTTATTTGAACATATTTTGTTCAAGTTAATTTTAATTAACTTAATTTAGACATACACACTCAATCATACTGATAAAGTATACAAGTAATCTCTATTATATAAGCTAAGAGAGGAGACTATGGTGTCCCCTTGAAAATACCACATTACCCCTCTTAGCTTATACTTAGATCCTGTTCTTTTAAGCTTATGGGCAAGTAGAGCAGAGCATAATAGTTATCCGCGGAGTAGATTGAGTCAGCAGAGTAGGGCTCAACAGAAGAGCAGAGCAACTCAAAAAAACAGGACCTTATTGTCTTTAGTTAATTTAATGAAATATCTTCAATATACAATTTCTTTAATTGATTTATACAATTTTAATTGTGATCTTCATTTATTTGACCTCGTGCCATGATTTAATCCATCACCTTCTATTACAATCAAGTAACGAAAATTAAACAAAATTACAAAAAATAAAAATAAAAAATAAAAAAAATGATTTTTAAGGATTCTATCCAATTTTTTGTCAAAATTCTCCTCATTCACCCTTTTAATCAATTTTAAAATAGGTAAATAGGTAGCAATTCTTAATTGTTTAAATCTTATTAACTACCTCACCAGCAATCATAACCACTCAAAAGAAAATATTTCGTCTTCTTTTAATCTGTTATACAAGTATAAGCCATGATCTACATTTAAGTTATAAAGAATATTAATTGAACATAATTGTCGGTTATCTTAATTGAATAGCTACTAATATCAGTAATATGTATATACGCTAATATATACCACGTAACAATTTAACCTTATTTTCTTTGATAATAATTACCAAACAATTTGTTGGTTACTTTTATATATTGTTTTTGTTCAATGTTTTCAACATATCGGAATATATAAGATCGTTCATATTTATTCCTAAGTCATTAAAATTTGATGTTTTAGATGTTCTTTAAAACTAATTATAATGTTTAATACACGGATCGCGTGTATATATTGTCTAGTTAATCATAGACTTCAACTATCAAATCACACCCTCAACTTGTAGATCTATTTTAAGTATGTCTTAAATTACTTACATACTAAATATCAATAAGTTTTGTTGAATGCATTTGACTTTGATTTGATATAGCATGACACATCAATTATAATTCACAAGACCATTTGTAAATTGCACAGCATACCACTGATAACAGTCTATGGACTTCATGATAGATTGATAATATGCGCACAATTTCTACCAAAGATGACTGAATTTAATTGATGAAGATAAATGATTATAAAAGGTAATTAATTTGCAGCAAAAAGTTAAGACTGTACTATTTCATCACCAATTACAACAAATTTTTCCTCCACCCTGAGGGCTAGCAATATAAGATCATGTAATTTAGTCACTAAAGCCTTCACTTAGATCAGCATCGCTTATACCACTGAAATCTTCCGGTTCTTTATTCTCTTCATCTGTGTCCATTGCATCTTCTTCAGATTCTTCTTCTTCACTTTCATCCTTGTCCTCGTAAATGACAGGAGGACCAGAGTCATACTCGTCAACTCCTTCATCCGCAACCTAATACGATAAAAAAAAAAAAAAAAAAAAATGAGCTTGTATACCTAAATATACATTCTATTAGCAGCTCATTGGCCGAGACAAAACTTACCCCAGCATGTAGGAGGTCCAAACTGCTAGCCAATTGAAGTGAGTGATTAAAATTTGCAACTCTAGATTCTATGAGCTGCCAAGGACCAAGAACAACTTGGTCAGCAAACCCAAAACCAAGACAAATTTTCACTTCAAAGTATATAAAAAGTACAAAGAAACAAAAACTGATACCCCAGAGCAAATTCAAATGACTTCAATTATTTTCTATAAAACAGCTTCTTTTTTTTGGTGTTTAAGAGAGCCACAAAGGCGCATGATGAGAATCGATCCCAAGATCTCTTGGAATCGGGAGGGGAACTCTAACCACTTGAGCTATCCCTCACTCTCTATAAAATAGCTTCTTATTCTGAATACTATAGTATGCTTCAACTTTACATGAGTATACATTGTACTTTCTTATGTTACATAACAAAGTGAATTACACATAATATAATTTTAATGTAACATAAAGGAAATAGGTATAGATAGCCATTAAAATTCGACTTCAATTCATGTGAAATGTAAGATAGGAACCTTTACCTGGTATAACGAATTAAGGGCAGCTAATGAAGTCTCTTGGGACATTATCCTGCTAGAATGCTGGAGAAGTAAACTCCTCAGCCAAGGAAGAGCACATACCAAAACTGCACCCCTGTCATCACAGATAAATAACATTTTAGACTTTATCCTACTATAGCCAACACGATGATAGAATTTCCAGACAGGTTAAATTGCAATGCATTCAAAAAATTTCAGCAATAAACTGATAGGCCACCATCTTATACAGTGACATTAGCTTGAAGCTACTTGCAAAGAGAAAATGTCAATCATAGCTCTTTACAAAGCATATTTGCATCACGACATCACCATCTATAATACTGTTTTGCTAGCTAAACAGTCAGATTACAGAATGTACTTTTCCACTATAATTCACTGAAGTGAACTTAAGTCATTGAACTGAGCTGTAGTGAATTTTGGAACAAACATAAGCTGAATTAGGGGGAAAACAATTTTTTTTTTTGCCAACTCTTATAAGAATTCTCTCACTCTTTTTTTGGTACAACTATTATTTCAGGTATAAAAGCCACATGATATTCCCGGTATTAACATCAATTCAGTTTTCTACCAAATTATTCCTAAATATAGGGATAATAAAGTTTTGACTATGGAAACATAATAAAATATTTCACTTTGGCTTTCATTAGAATGGAGAGAACATTTCTGGATTTAGTATTAAAAGCTTGACAAACAATTTCAATCAGGCTTTCATAATAATGGAGAGAACATTCATGGCTATAGTTTTTAAAGTCTTTAGACGACTAAGTATATTGGTGAATAGTAACTTCCTAACTAAGGCTCTATTCACTTCAACTTGTTAAAATAGTTTCAGCAAAAATAAGTTAGCAAATTCAGAGTATAATTAAACTTCAGCAAGATAAGTTAATTTCAGCTTAAATAAGTTAGATTAAGCAAAGAAAAGTTTTTTTAACAAAAAGAATAAAAATTAATATTAAAATTGAACAAAAATTAGCTGAGAAAAACTAAGCCTAATTGTGGCACTTTGCTACTCTTTCTAAAATGCTAATTTATATGTGGAGTAATGTATGCCTAACCATACATTTAATATGTTAATTTTGGCGGTAGCCTTTATGGACTTCAATGACCATTGCAGCAAATTAATTAAAAAATCACAAAAATATAGTGTAATGTTGAAGGTTATTCTGCTCAAGTAAAATCAAGGACGGACTGAACCAATATAAGTCAGGTGTGCAAGAATTTATGCAAAATTAATAAAATAATAATGAATAAAATTGGAGTAAACAATCAAATGGGGATAAGAAGTTTGGGGGAGAAAGTAACCTCCCCAAGTGAACTCAAATGAGGTCCAATGGGGATGGAACAGGAACATCAATGGCGGTTAAAGGGAGGATATTAAAAGATCACAATCTTTGTCATAGTTAAGGCACAAGCATATATTTCTAGGAATTCCATTCCAATCAAAAGTTTCCACATCCCACTCTAAGAAGCCAGCTTATGTAGGTACACTTCAACACTACAAAATAAGTCCCACATCTCAGACCTTAAGAAATACTTCTTAATAGACTAATAGGCATCAGTAGAAATATCTATGTCTGCATTGCAAGTCCAAGATACATAAATGTTTTCCAAACAGGGTTTCTAGCATGTCTCACAGTGGAACAGAGTTGTAATCCAAGCCTCAACATACTCTATGCTAATGGGGCTTTCTCACCATTTTCTTTAATTTACAGCATATTAGGCACACATTTTAGTTTTATTAACATCCAGATGAAGCACATAAAGATATTGCACATAGAAAGTTGATTTACCTTGACTGGATGATAGCTAAAAGAGAGTTCAAAAGCTTGAAAATGTCAACTGCATTTAAATGTGAAACAGAGTTCGCAATAACCTATCAATGAAAACCATTCTGGTTAGAAATCAATTAATGAGTCCAACTTTCTAGCAGAAGTTCAAAAATAAAAAAAATAAAAAAAAAGGGGGAAAATTAACCTTGTCATCTTGATTGTACAAACAATCTAACAGAAGTGCGCTATCATCAGCATGTAAAGCTTGCCTTAACAAAACATGTATGGAGTCTGCACTGGGAGGCTGTGTCTGAGAAGGTTCTGGACTTTCCTGAATTTCAGTGTTATCGTTCTTTTCAATGCCTAAACTAGCAAGTTTGTCAGCCATTGTAGGATCATTATCGTCAATCTGAATCCCATCTGTGTCTTCTCCTTTATCTGTATTAAGGACAGGTATGATCACTAATTGCAATTTGCAAGCATAGAGCAAACTTATAAACATGAACATCATAATACAGATTAAGAGTAAACTTGCTCTGACATTTTACCAGAGCTCCAACCCCACTCCTGAATCCTTCCTCTCATCATAACATCAAAATCTTGCTTTAATTAACCTCACATTGAAATGGTAGGACAATAGGACAAATCAAATTCTGTGAACTTCCAATCACAATTATCAGGGGCACGTTCTACCATTTAGCTAATAGCTCGTCTCCGGTCTCTAATTCAAAATTACACCTAAACATTAACTCCCTAATCACGCCATAACTATCACCCAATACTTCATCATCCAACTCACCACAACAATCAGTTAAAACCCTCAACAGCCAATTCCACCAGTGCCAACTCTATATACCCTTCAACCAAACAAGCATTTCTTTCAAACCCCAAAAACTAAACTATAATCAAATAAAATACACTAAAAATCAAATAACAATAACCATATATCTCAAATTTAATACATGTAACTAAATAAAAAGCTCATATTAATCAATTGACAAGAAAAAACAAACACCCAGAAAATTAAATATAGTCACAAAATCATTACCATGAGCTATAACATTTTCTGTAAGTTGAGAATCATCAATTTCAGGTGCCCTTCTCTTTTTACTTGATTTTTTCATAGAACTCTTCTTAGCAGATGCTTCCATGGCAGAGGACCGTCCCACGGGTGCTGCAACACATTCGCAACCAATTTGACTCAATTATCAAATTAAATTCTTCTTGCTTAAAAACATGAATAGCAACAGAATAAATTAGGGAAATAAACCAGAAAATTACATTAAATCAAACGAAATTAGATGGGAGGTGAGGAGTTTCAGACTCAGTGAGAGAGAAGGGGGTCTGAGAAGGCGTTCAGAGTCTTCAAATAATATGAGTTAGGGCTTCAGAAGATAGTGGGGCTTTTAAATTTTTTTTGAAATATATACTCCCTCATTTCGCTTTGTTTGTACCATGGGCAGTGGTGAATACAGAATAAATCTTTTAACGGGGTTAAAATACATTTTATAAATTTTAATAAGGTCAAATGGGTAATTTTATACGAAAAAAAACTTCAATTTTATAACAAAAAAACTTTATTTTATAGTATTTTTTTTTTATTATTCGAGTGGGGGTCACACCCCACTTCCTTGTATACATCCGGCATTGAGTATTAGGTCTGTAAACGATAAGGGGCGGATAAAGTACTTTGTATATAATGTCTATAAATTTAAAAAAAAATTAAAAAAATATAATACCTCCATCGAGAAAGCCCCAATTTATCTCCGTGATAAACAAAAAATAATTTTATCTGGTGGCATTTCAGTAAATAAATCAATATAAAATCTCAGTCAGCATGACATTTCTGTAAATAAATCAACATCAATAAGCCCACATTTAATAAAAAAATTGTTGATTTATTTACAAAAGTGTCACTAGATAAACGTTATTTTTTTTTTTGTTTAGTATGAAGATAAACTTGTATAATCTCACCTCAGTTTTAATTTATTTACAACGATGTAAAAATAAAGTGGCATGCGATAAGGAGAGAGATAGAAAGAAATGATTAGTAAAAAAAAAAGGAAAGAAAGCAATTGTTGCAAGTAATTTGTAGTTTTCATTTATGGTAAATGTTGCAAATAAATTGAAACAGAGGTAGTATATTTTTTTAAAACTATATACTTTATATTAGGGACTTAGGGTTGAAATCTTATGAGAAGTTTTTTAAAATATGAATGATGAGAATGGTAAAAATTTTCATTTTTCTGGGAAAACAAAAGTTGTGCACATTATGTACATAATTTTTGCACATCAAATTTGACTCGATTTTTTATTTTTTATTTTTTTTTTAGAAAAATCTATATGTGCATATCTATATATGTAAAGGATTTTTTTGCATATTTTTTTGGTACTAAATATGGATATTTTGTGAACTAAATATGCAAAAAAAAATAAAATAAATTGACTTAAGTTTAATGTGCATAAATTTTGATCATAATGTGCACAATTTTTGTTTTTCTAAAAAATTGAAAAATTTTATTAGTTCAAAAATCAATTTTGCACATTTAATCTTCTCATTTTAAGAAATTTCGCATCGGGTGATAAACGGATGATGGATGCAACAGAGTCCTACCCGAATGGGCCGAATCTGACCCGTCACTTGCTTATTCGTCATTCGCCCTTCATTTATTTAACGCGCATTTTCATCCATTAATTTATATCAGGTAGATTGGGTTTTCGGATATCCATTTACAATTATCATCCTTAGGAAAACATAACATTAGGAAGATGTTTTTATATAAATGGATTTTTTTTAAATTTAAGTTAAGCGATTAACCTCAGTTTTATGTTCTTATTAATGTACAAAATTCGTTTTGTTCAAAATTGTACTTCCAGCATGCCTTTATTATATCAACTCGGCTAGAATATAATGCCTTTATTTTGGGTACATTTGAATATTTGATGAGAAAATTCATGTATCTCAATATGAGATACATATCATGTATCTTAAAGGGGTATATTTGTCATTTTAGATAATAAGATGGGGTTAAAATTGTAGAATTGTCTAGAATATCATTGTATTCAAGCAAAAGCAGAACATCATCAATGGAGGAACGAAAATCAGAACAACATCAATGGAGAAACGAAAATCAAAACAATATCAATGGAGGAACGAAGAGCGAACTTGACAATCGGCTTCAATGGAGGAAATTAACACTCATACCCTTTGGGTTAACCATGCCCTTAATTTCTCTATTTTTCTTAGGGTTTTCGTTTAATTTGGCGGTGAAGCCACCGGAATTATGTGTAGATTAATTTAGAGTATTGGAGACTAAATCATGTTTACTTATCTTAATTAGCTAGGTTAAGGTGTGCTAATTAAGGAAGTTAAATATTACAAAGGATATGATACGTGGTCTTATCTTGCTCGATCGGCACGATACACATGAATTATGAAGCGTTGCCTTATCTTGTTCAATCGGCACCATGCAATAAGTGTCAATTCATTTTGACGGTTAATTACTTTGTTTGGTGAAAGTGATTTATATATATACCAATGATATAAGATGATTGGGTACGTGAGAAATTATTCTTTCTTATTTTCTTAATTGTGCTACTTGCATGATTATCAGTTTTTACAAAGTTTTGTTATCACAAAATTACAAAAATACTTGCTTACATTGTGATTGCTTTTATACCACTTGTAATTGCAATTGTCTTCGTTGTATCTCCTAATTGATTTCGTGATACCCGGTTATAGTTTAGGGTCGAAATATTACTTTTGAGAAAGTGATATCGTTCACGCCTCGAAGGTTTTCGATTCTTGTTAATTTTCATCATCTTTGTGATCCTTGTTTTAGTAAAATCCCCAACAATCCAAATGTAATATACTTACAAAGATGGCCACTGTTAAGGAATTGACATCAAATTTCCAAAAGTTGGATAAGTTCGAAGGCGTGGGTTTACGAAGATGGCAAAAGAAACTGCACTTCCTATTGACATCTCTTGGTGTGGCTATGTCCTCACTACCCCGAAGCCTTTGGAGGAGGAAAATGAGACATTGGGAAACTCTAGGAAGAGGAACAAGTGGGAAAACGATGACTACATATGTCGTGGACACATTATTAACGGTATGTCCGATGACTTGTTTGATGTCTATCAATTTTATGAGTCTGCTAAAATTCTTTGGGATGATTTAGAATAAAAGTATATGGGTGAAGATGTTTCTAGTAAGAAATTTCTTGTTAGTAATTTTAATAATAATAAGATGGTTGATAGTAGGCCAATTATGGAACAATTTCATGAAATACAAAGAATTTTAGGGAGTTTTAAACAACATGACATTAGTATGGATGAGACTTTTATTGTATTTTCTATCATTGATAAATTACCACCATCATGGAAAGACTTTAGAAACACTTTAAAGCATAGAGAAGATGAAATACATGTTGTTGAATTGGCTTCTCATATTCGGATTGAAGAGAGAATTTGATTTCATGATGGACAAAAGGATGCAAATCCTAGTTCCACCATTAATGTAATGGAGGACTCTAAGTCAAATGACAAAAAGAGGGGTAAAGACTCAAACAAAGGCAAAGGCAAGAAGCCTAAGGTTGATGGTGATGCACCAAAGCCTCATGCTTGTTGGGTGTGTGGCAAGGTTGGACATTTTAAAAAAAATTGCACCATTTGGAAGAAAAAGATGAGCAAGAAGAAGGCTCAAGGTGATATAGGCGAGTCAAGCCAATCCCAAGATAAGCAAGGTAATAATTGTACACAAGTTTCATTTAATTCAATTATGGGTTATTTGTGTGTGATTTTTGAAATTCTTTGTGTACAGGGTGATACATCATGGTACATCGATTCAGGAGCATTGGGACATGTTTGCAAGGTCGTTCTTTGTTCAAATCTTTCGTTGAGGTTACCAATGGAGATATTCTTTACATGGGGAATGATTCCACCGTAAAGGTCTTAGCAAGGGACTAGTAGAATTAATATTTAGTTCGGGAAAATCTCTAATTCTTAGGGATGTGTTGTATGCTGCCGAACTTAGGAGAAATCTTGTATCCGGTGCTACCTTGAATCGTTTAGGATTTAAAATGGTGTTTGAGTCGGACGAATTTATTTTGTCTAAAGGTGGTATGTTTGTAGGACTTGGTTATTTGTATGATGGAATGTTTAAATTAAGTATTTGTAATAATGTTATGGACAATGTGTATGTTGTATGTGATAATTCTTCTCTATGGCATTTTAGACTTGGACATGTTAATTACAAGAAACTTTACTTCATGTCAAAGCATGATTTAATTCCATCGTTTGATCCAAGGATAGAGAAGTGTAGAACATGCATGCTAACAAAAATTACAAGGAAACCATTTCCTAACAATGTAGAAAAGAATACTTCATTTCTTGAATTAGTGCAGAGTGATTTATGTGATTTCATAGCACTCCTTTAGGAAATAAGAAATATTTAGCAACTTTCATTGATGATTTTTCAAGATTTTGCTATGTTTACTTATTGTTTTCTAAAGATGAAACCCTTGACAAATTTAAAATCTACAAGAATGAAGTAGAATTTTAACCAAATGAAAAGATTAAAAGGTTAAGAACAGATAAAGCTGGTGAATATTATAATACAAGTTATTTACAATCTATAGGGTTAGTACATGAAACAACCGCAACATATACACCACAACAAAATGGTGTGGCGGAAAGGAAGAATAGAACTTTAGAAGAAATGGTAGATTACATGTTATCCTATTCGGGCTTGAGTGATGGATTTTGGGGAGAAGTGGTACTAACCGCTTGTTACATTTTAAACCGAGTTCCAATGAAAAGGAATGAGATAACTCCATATGAGCAACGGTATAAAAGGAAAACAAATTTCAGTCATCTCAAAGTTTGGGGTTGTAAGGCAATTGTAAAAATGTCGGAACCTAAACGTAAAAATTTAGGTGAAAGAGGAGAGGAATGCACTTTTATAGGATATGCGGAACATAGCAACTCCTATAGGTTCTATGTGATTGAACAAAATGACTATTGGTCGGTTCATACCATCATTGATTCTAGAGATGCATTGTTTGATGAAAATAGATATTCATCCATTCCCATACCAAAGGATGTAACTCCAAATACCGATGCTCAAAGTTTTGACCAAATTGAATTTGATCAAGTAGTAGATGAACAAGATCATTTTGATAAGGCATCTACATCGTCATCTCAACCTAGGAGAAGTAAGAGGGCTAGGGAAGAAAAATCTTTTGGTCCGGACTTTCATGTGTACTTAATTGAGGGATTAAGGAATTTTGTTACAACACAATTTCCATACATTTTTAATGCGGAAGATGATCCTTTGACTTATGATGAGGCTATGAGCTGAGGTCTCGTGATGCTCCATTTTGGAAAGAAGCTAACAATGATGAGATGGAATCCATCGTAGGAAATAATACTTGGGTGTTAGCTAATTTACCACCAAA